GTTTTTTTTTTTTTTTTTTTAACTTAACAGCCTGATTTAAGGGAGTAACGGAAATTTTATTGTCAAGTAACTGGGAGACAAAACCACTCACCAGCGTGTTAGTGGATAATTCACTGATACGCCAGCTGATCTGGAACTATTTTCAGTTTACGCTCTTGAGTATTTTCTTATTAACAACCTCCTTTGTTAATAAGAAATTAGACAGGATAGGTTTTTATGAGTCATTTCCTTTTCTTCCCATTGTTTTTTTTTTTTTAATCACCCAAGTGGTTGATTTATTCCTCTTTTTCTTGCTCTGTATCTTAGCAGTGCGTGCTTGTAAAATAATATGTTTTTAAAAGAAAGGTTCAGTAGGTATTTTTGGAACTGGAACTGGAAACAATGGGCTGGTGCAAGAAGCTTCTTAAAATAAGTTGTGCGGTTTACAAAGGTTCTCTGCAGCAAAGGTTCTCAGTTTTGTGCACACCGTTTTTTGTTTTTTTTTAAAAAGCTCCTGTGCTTTTTCCTGCACTAAAGTGGAACCTTATGACTGAGATGGAAACTCTTGCACACACTGTCTCCTGGCAGACTGTGCAAGGACTGCCTGACACAGCCCCATCCATCAAACTTTGTCCTTCGCAAAAGCTTCATTCCCAGGCTCTGAGAAGAGAGCTGCATGCATTGTCTTGCCACGTGTGGAGATGTCTCAGAAACGGCATTTGGGCTTCTTTGATCTTTAGACTGCTGTCTCATGAATAAGTTGCCCAAATGACAAGGTAGGTGGGGGTGAAACTTTCCTCCAACCCATTGTGTTTGCTTCCTGCCTAGCCCCAAAGGGTCCTGGGTTTGATGGAGCTTCAGTAATTCCTGGGATGGAGCTTCTCAGGATTGGGAGTTCCTGGTTGTCGCTCTGCTATCGCATCTGTCCCAGCACTGATACATTCTTCATGTGATACACGCCAACTTCTGCCACTGGGTTTGGAACAGACAGGGAGTTAGCTTGCTGTCATGCCAGCAGTGCAGCTATCTTTTTCTGCATCATGGGTTTGTGTGGGTTCATTTCCTACAGTGGTTTTGGTGATTGCCATGTCATGCAACGTGGTGGCTGCCAGACTTGCTTGAAGTGTCAGTTTGATGGCTTGCTTACTGAGTCTTGATCGTGGAATGGGAAGGAGAGAGTCATGCCAGTGTTTCATGCTGCTCGTGTATGTTGCTCTTGTTTTAGTGAATGCAATTAATTGAGTGGTGCTGTATTGTTCCCAAGGGGCTTACTTTAGGCTGCCTGGGCTGGTGTTGTGTGAATAAAGTGAATACGGTATGTGACAATCATCTTTAAGAATCCACTTTTTAACGCTGGAACAGTTTTCTCCAGTTTGGAGCTGACTAAATATCTAGAATAGTGTTTCTCAACCTTGGTGGCTTGAAAATATGTGGACTTCAACTCCCAGAATTCCCCAGCCAGCAAGATCTAGAACAACAATCCCCAGTACTCCAACCCGGCATCATGATTGGTTGAGCTGGCATGGAAAGAGGAGATCAGACACATTTGGAGTTTGCCAGATTAGAAAAGGCTGTCTTAACTGCCTCTGAACACAAGTGTCCCACTTAGCTATCACACCCATTGATTCATTATACAGATCAATAGCTTTTTCTTCTGTGAACTTGCTTTGTGCAACATAGGTTTTGATAGGGACATACAACATTTATTTATATCATTTATATAGTTGCCCATCTCACACAAGTGATTCTAGGCAGCTCACAAGATTAAAAACAACCCCCCCCCTGGTGCCCAAGGATAAATGATTAACTATGAACCACCTGTAGTAGCAGAACTCTTTTCCACCTGGACCCAAACATCTGGAGGAACAACCTGGTCTTCAATGCCTTACAAAAGGCTAACAAGGTTGGGGACATCCGAATTTCCAGGGAGATGTTTTGTGCATGAAACATTCTGTCCATGACACACCTGGATTTGGAGGGTACCTGCCCAAATTAAAAGCTGCATGTTCAGGGAAGGGGGGGGGGGAGCCCATCTGTCGTTGGAGAGACAGGAAAGGGAAGGAAGGGACTTGACTTGGAAAATGGGAGGTAAGTGGGCCAGTGGGATTGTTGCACAGGAAGCTGCTGAGGGAAGGAGGAGAAAGAGGGAGAGGCATGCCCCAACTTTCTCTTACTCCCCCCATCCAGATTTTATGTCCAAAACCTGGAAGTGTTCCAGATTTTGGTTCTGCCGAACCGTGGCAGAGTCAAAACGATTTGGCAGAACTTCTGCAATGCAGTGATTTGTTCCATCCATGAAACAAAACATCCCCATTTTGTGCATTTCCAATTTTTGAGGACAAGAATGGACCTCAGACACGATGCAAATATAAAGCAGGGTTATAGAAATTTGGATACCCAGGAACTTCTGGCAGCCAAAAAGTATAGGTTCAGGGACTGCTGAAAGCTATTCCAGATTACTGACGTTTCAAAAACATTTCTGAAAGTTTTCTTCCCCAGTCGGATTTTCTCCAGTTGTTTGGGATTGCAACTCCCAGCAGCTTCCCTGTCTGTGGGGCAGGGGAAACATGCACCAGTGAAAACAAGATTTCATCTCTCACTGTTGAACTCTGGTTCCCCCCTCCCCCTCTTTTCTTCCCAGCCATGAGCCTGCCTTGTGACCCTTCTCACTTA